TTTTGATGCGGTGTGACATTCATCAAGGGTCAGGAAATAATTTTTATAATGGATGTGCGTTGATTTCCTTGTGTGTTCATGTTGTATGAAGTAAACGGTATGTGTGTTATTTGATTAGTGCTTGAATGTTGGTTTGTGCGTTTGTTTACTGCGGAGTGTGCAGCATATGCATCCGAATTATAATGGGTGTGCCTCGAATGATGTAGTTTGTCCCTAAAATTAGTATTGTAATGGATGTGCGCGAAAGGAAGTAGTATATTCATTATGAATGAATTAGACGGTATGGCTGGTAGTCGGTTTGTGCATGAAATGCGGTGTGGGGGATTTTTTTACGACGGAGTGTGCGTCTTGTGGAATAATATTATGGTGTGTGCGTTTGTTCACGACGGCAGGTGCATGTGCGTATTATCTGTGGTATGTGCGTGATGGCAGTAATATACGCAAATGCTGACACGACCAATGAGAAAGAGCAAGGCGAAGAGAGTACACCACATAACATCAAAGATGAAACTAACCTAATAAATGCATTCTACAAATTTTTAGCCATGGTTCGAGGGAGGACCGATAATTTTTAGCCAATTACAAAATGGAGAACATTACGCACAAGCGTAATACGTAGGACGCACCAACCAGTATGGAATTACAGTACTACGCACACACCTCACTCCAAGAACGCACATACGCTACACAATATGTAATGTGACTTAAATATAAGTTGAGGTGTATTCGATGGATGTGATACAAATTAGAAGGTAAATATTAAGATTATAACAATACAATACAAAAAAAAAAAAATGAATTTTAGCAGTCAAAAAAATGACAACAATTATTCAAATATGTCAGTAAAAGAATTACAATTATGTAATCATCAATTTGGGTAAACACGTTAATTATTTTTTGGACTTGAATAATGGCGTACAACGCAACGACTGCCTCTCACAAGCGTAATACGTAGGACGCACCAACCAGTATGGGATTACAGTATAACGCACACACCTCACTCTTATAACGCACATACAAATTCGTGTCCGGTGGCGGAACAGGGGGTGCTTCAACATCATCGGAGGGCATCACATGTACAGCCTCTACCGCATCTACCGTCTCTGCAGCCGTGACACCTAGACATACAAAAAAAAAATGCACTATGAGCAACAAAAAGTTACCACATAACAGATAAAAAAAAATAACCAAACTCCTAAGCACCCACTTCCCACAAAATAGTAAAAAAAAAAATTATCATACTCGTGAGCACCAACTTTTTCCCCCAGCGCACAGACCAGAATCCCCCTCCCAGCAACCCAATAGTACGCACTAACTTATTACTTATAACGCACCAACCAATTAACAATTACAGAATTACGCAAAAACGTCACCCTAAGAACGCACACACTAATTGCCAGTACAATATGATCTACACTATTATAATAAATGAGAACATGACAAGCCAACCACGATTAAAAGCTACTTTCCATACAAAAAAAAAAAAAAAAAAAAAACAAACAAACAAACAAAAAAAAAAAACAAAATAAAAAGCTCAAACAACAATTAAAAGTTCATATGGTACTGTTTTTCTTTCCTACCACATCTGTATAGATATAAACGCACACGCCAAGTGTCTGCTACGCACCGGCTACCGCCATATGAGTATATGAATTGGTTTCACAATCATGACAATACTTTTATTGTACATAACACCCCAAAACCCACGCGAAAGTGATATGATCTGGTGGTGGCTATAGATTGTTGAATGTTATCAACCAGGTTGGTTAACAAAAACACCCCAAAACCCACGCCGAAAACCACAAATAGGTTATTAAAAATAAAAAATAAAAAACAGAGCTGTACAATAAAAACCCTAAGCACCTACCGCCCACCACCGCCACACCCAGACACCACCCCCAACTACCGTAAAAAACTCCCATACAAAAAACCCTCCCACCGGGAACAAAAACCCAGGCCGAAAAATGTAGTACGCATAACAACTTACCAAAAAAAAAAAAGGAAAACAACACAAAAAGACTGGGGATGTCGGAATACCTTGAGTGGATCCGGAAGAACTGCCCTTTTGAAGCTTAGAATGCCTGATAGAAGAACCACCATGTAGACTATCTGGACAACACAGACAGACCGGCACCGGAGAGGGACGAGCTCGCCAAAACAGAAGAGGCTGCCTACCTTGCATCGGAGTGCAGAACAATCTGATAGGAGAGAAACTGAAGAGACACGGCAAGGGGTGAGAGAAATATATTGAAAATTGATTTGAGACCAAAAATAACGCTAAAACCTTCTACAAATGGCGGCATTAATTAAGGAAAAGTAATAAATACAATGAGAAAAGACCAAAACGACCCTGGCTACATATAAACTCTATCAGCACATGACATCAAATACAATAAATCTGAAACGTTAAAAACTCAAAATAAACGAACAAGATGTCGTCTCACCGTCTCACCTGGCTTGGCGTCTCATTGGATCCAATATCTATATATATATATATATATATATATATATATATATATATATATATATATATATATATATATATATATATAAACAAGCACCTTTCATGGTACCTAAAAGGATCTGTATTGATTTAGAGATGAGGTCTGGTGATGGAAGTTTATCACCATTTATCTTTCTCAGAAAATGATCTAAGAAAGTGTATGGCTGCATTCTCCACTGCAAGTTACGTTGGTCAATAACAGAAGCTCCATTCTTTGTACTGTTTTGCCATCAAACATAAACCTGTAACCCCCCACTTGCACACACACAATCAATCGCCCACTAAAAACACTAACAATTAAGATTAAGAATGGAAATTGTGTTTCACCGTATAGTACTTGTATGTCCGCCGTCAATGGCACATTGATCTCCTCCATTTTGGCAGCTAACGACAAACAGGCCAAAGAAAGAACTGCACAGCCCAATTCCTGCTTTTCTATGAATTCCGAGACAAACAACACTGGAGTTGCTAGCTCGCTGCGACTTCAGAGACGCGCCAGAGCCAAGCACTGATGACGGCGACGGTGGCCGAGGAAGCTCCGGCGCCCAAGGGCGTCAAGAAGAAGAAGAGCAAGGACGACAGCAAAAGCGGTGTCGTGGACGACGGAGATGCGCCGAAGCCAAGCACTAACGCCTATGAGCCCACGGATGATACCGCTAGTGACAAGAATGGTGGGCGGCGGTGAGCGTGGTACGCGAAGAAGAAGCCGCAAATAACTTTTTATTTTTTTTAAACGTAAAATGACCATTTTACCCCCACGAATAAAAAATTTAAAAAGGTTTAAGTTTTTCTGGTCACATTGGCCGGTAATTTGACTGGCGTGACCAAAATTGATAAGAATTGCATAGTTAAGGTATTAAATTAACATTTTTGAAAGTCAAGTGTTGCAATTAACACAAGTGCAATAGTCGGTGGACCAAAATTGAAATTTACTCTTATGTGCACTTAACATTGTTACTCATGTGTACATTATATTGTTGCACTCTATGAAGTTGTTATTTGTGCACTATAATACGTATGCGTGCGCATTTGCTTGTGGTGGTGCATGATGTGTATATGTGCATTTCAATCTGAACACGTGTGTGCAATGCAATTTTAGAGTGTGCATAGTGTAATGTATAAGTGTGGTGTGTGTGCATGTGCTTCGACGACATTCAAAGATGTGCATGATGTTGTGCTTGAGTGCAAACAATTGCTCAAAGCACAACACATGCAACACTCAATTTTATTGTTTTCGTTCGCTCCACATATTTTTCTCGTTAAATTAAAGCATCGAATGTTAACAAAACAATAGGATTTTCTTATATCTTATATTTAATAATGATAACAATAATTTATATTTAAATGAAAAGATTTAATAATATAGAAACTCATACTTTGTCATTGACTTACATATTTGGACTAAAAATTTATAATTTTGCTTGGATAAATTTGTCCCTTAATTAATATTTATGGGGATTTGGATTACTGATTATGCCATGAATTTAGGATGTTGACTTAATCATAGTCCACAGTTATTTTTTATGGCTAAGATTTGTCTATAATTTTTATGTTGAAGGGTGTTTCCATTGAGAGGGCAAGCCTATAATAATAATAATAATAATAATAATAATAATAATAATAATAATAATATTATTATTATTATTATTATTATTATTATTATTATTATTATTATTATTATTATTATTATGGTGGTGGTGTTGGTATTGGTGTCTGTGGTAGTGGTGGTGGTAGTGTGGTAGTGGAGGTGGTGGTGGCGGTTGTGATAGTGTTGATGGTGGTGGTGGTGGTGGTTTGGTGGTGGTGGTGGTTGTGGCGGTTGTGGCGATGGTGGTAATATCTAGAAACTAAATTAAAAGGGAAAAGAGTGAAGAAAGAAATAGAAAACAAAGAAGTCAAAAATTGTCTTCCGACTAATAAACTAAGAAGACATTTTCTGTGAATTTGAGTATTTTTTTTTTCTTTTGTTCGTCCATAATAAATATCTTTATTTGACTTCATTTTCATTGAATATCCAAACATATAAAAAAAAAAAAAAAAAAAAACTGTCGGAAGTCATTTTCTATGTTTCTAAACGGGCTATAAATTTTACTGAATTGCCTTAAAAAGTTAAACCCCGCCCCAAACGGGCTATAAATTTTACTGAATTGCCTTAAAAAGTTAAACCCCGCCCCATAAAGGTATGACCCAGATGATCGGACTTGATATTATATGGCAAATTTTTAAGACAAAAATATACATTTTTAATATAGTAAATGTATATTATTTGTATATTAAATATAAACTATATTGATAATATACAAAATAATATATATTCATTATATATATAATGTAGATTTTATTCTCTGTACATCATGAATATTCATGATCTATGTAATAATGATTGTACATTACTCCATTATATTAAAGAAATTATTTTTAAATATATTTGTTTTTTTTTTTGGAAAATTAAAAATATATTTGTTTTTGAAAAATAAAAAGGAAAAAGAATAGAAGATATCATTGACGGCCGGACACTTGCTCTCTCCCGCCATGGCCATACAGTCTGTTCTCTCCCTCTCTTCTCATCCTTTCACCTTTCGCTTTCAGTCAAACAAGCCTTCTGCACTTATACTCTGTAAGCCACTTCTCCATGTCCAAAACCTAGGGTTCTGCTTCATAAAGCCACTCCAGCATTCTCGAACTGTCAACAAGTGTCCCAGGTCTGTTTTGCCGGTGGAGTCTCAAGTCTCCGACGAAGGCGAAGACGACGAAGAAGAAGAAGAAGAAGAGGAGGAGGAGGAAGAAGAGGAAGACGACGATGCTGAAGACGAAGAAGCTGCGGAAGAGTATGGCGTCATTTCAGCTGAGGTTTCCGACGGAGGCGAAGAAAGTGAGTACGAAAGTGACGCTGCAAATTCGATTGATGTGGCGAGAGATGATAAGTTGAAGTTTGAGGAATTTAAATGGCAGAGAGTCGAGAGGATTTGTAGGGACGTTCGAGAATTCGGAGAAGAAATTATCGACGCTAACGAACTTGCTTCAGTTTACAATTTCCGTATTGATAAGTTCCAGGTAAATTTTATACTCAAATTTTTTTAATTTTTTTTTTTTTAGTTATTATCATTTTGTTATAACTAGAAGTGTGAAGTTTGGATTAAAAAAACTGTTTAGAGATTGGCGATTCAAGCGTTTCTACGAGGCTCGTCAGTCGTAGTGTCTGCGCCAACAAGTAGTGGCAAAACTTTAATTGCTGAAGCTGCCGCTGTTGCGACAGTGGCAAAAGGAAGGAGATTGTTCTACACTACTCCTCTTAAGGCTTTGTCAAATCAGAAATTTCGGGAATTCCGGTACAGAATTTTCTGGAATTAATTTCTTTTGCTTTCGATGATTTTGGATATAGAATTGAGTAACGGTTGTCTTTACAGGGAGACATTTGGTGATAGTAATGTTGGGCTTATTACAGGAGATTCAGTGATAAATAAAGATGCTCAGGTTTTAATTATGACTACTGAGATTTTGCGCAATATGTTGTATCAGAGGTACATTAGATCATTTGGTTATACTTCTCTGATTTTAATTTTCTATAACACATCTTCACTTAAATCCATTGCCAAATATAGTAGATAAGGAAGCACACGGGTGTGTAACATGCTTTTTCTCATTTGTTTTTGTACTGTAGTTGCTCAGTTAATTTGTAGCTGAACATCCATATAGGCTTCTTACTGTCAATATAATATTTTCTTTGTAATATTCAATTCCGTTTTTATTATCTACATCCGTTTGTTAAGTGATGGCTTTCATTCTTCTAGTTCCACCGAAAACAAATTCCTTTGGTAGTTGTCCTGACTTGAGCCGGCATGCTGATCATCTGTTGACAGATCATAGGATGCTTAATGGATTGTGTGGAATATACCATAGATAAGTAGATTTTTATTTTGTCATATTTGAGACAAATATGTTTGATGTCTATTTACAGACTAGTCTAAATGTAAATTCACAAATAGGATGAAGAAGTGTGATTTTCATACTAATAGGGAGATTGAGATATTTTAGATCTCTGCATTCACATTAAAAGCTGTCACTTTTTTTTTTTTTTTTTTTTTTTTTTTTTTCTTATTTAATTTCTTTTTATGCATTGTACAGTGTTGGAATGGTTTCATCAGACAGTGGACTTCTACATGTTGATGTGATTGTTTTGGATGAAGTACATTATTTGAGTGACATATCTCGGGGTACTGTCTGGGAAGAAATTGTATGTGTTTTCTAGATAGGTGCTCGTACTTCAATACATTGATTTGAGATACATGGTCTCACTTGTCTAAGTTCATTAGGTTATTTATTGCCCAAAAGAAGTTCAACTTATATGCCTGTCGGCAACTGTTGCTAATCCAGATGAGTTGGCTGGTTGGATAGGTCAGGTACTGCAACTTTAACATGCCTAGTTCACTCTAGTCTATCTTTAACCTTTCTTTGTCTTTATAGCAGATAAAATATATCTTGTAATGCCTTCTCAGTCATTTCTGTTTTGCATAACTATGAAATTGTGCTATCACTTAACTCCTTATTGATCTCTTTTAGTCACTAATTCTTTGTTTCGCACATTTTGATTCAAGAGAGTGTTACACTTTACAATTCTGGTTTATGGCATAGCCAATATCTTTTATTTATTTTTCATGAATTATTACAATGTTGAAATTTTGGGCTGCACTTCTAGTTGTGCTTATTCACTATCTCATGCTTTTATTCTTTCAGTTCCCTGATTCTTGTAAAACTGAATTAGTGACATCAGCCATTCTTTTAATTTCATGATTTTTCAAGATTCATGGTAGAACTGAGTTGGTGACATCACTCAGACGTCCAGTTCCCCTGACATGGCACTTCTCAACTAAAACATCTTTACTACCTCTTCTTAATGAAAAAGGCACAAGCATGAGCAGGTAAACATTCTCTAGTATGAGTTGGGTGTTGCAAATAAAATTTCCATTTGAAGCACATAATATTATGGTTTATGACCAATTTTTTTTATTAATATTTAAACATGTGATGCTCAATAAAAACTCATCAGGCTTTTGTAGTGCTTATTGATTAGATGGAGTTACTTGGTTTTTGAATGTATTTAACAGTGTTAGAGCCCCTATTCTTGAAATTGTTTGAAAGAAAAATGAATCGATTAATATTTTGACGCTAATCACTTTTCAAGCAGCTTCTGCGACATTTTATTGTTATGGTTCAAAAAAACAGATCTGAAGTGCTTCATTGTCACTATGAATGCACAACCTAGAGAAAAAATAACTCTAATTACAAATGTTATATGAAATTGCCAGTCTCATATGGAGAAAATTTTATATCTTAGTAACAAAAACAAATTCTGAGTGGCAATTTTGATGTTTTTCTGACTGGAGCAGGAGTTTATCACTCAATTATTTACAACTTGATGAATCAGAAGCTACATTACAGAAGGGTGAACGGTCTAGAAGGAGAAATTCAAGAAAACGTGGAAGTGATGTAAATCCACTCTCAAAGAATGAGATATCTACTCTTCGCCGCTCACAGGTAAAGACCAAGTCCTGGTGAATTAGCAATTGCCTTTTTCCTTGCACTTATTCCATCTAATAAGAGTTGTAAATTTTTTTTTTTAATTTTTTAATTATTTTTCACTATTCAGGTGCCCCAGATTATGGACACATTATTGCAGCTAAAGGCAAGGGATATACTTCCAGCAGTGTGGTTTATCTTTAGTAGGAAGGGATGTGATGCAGCTGTTCAGTATCTTGAAAACTGTAAGCTACTTGATGAGTGTGAAGTGAGCGAAGTTGAACTGGCCTTGAAGAGGTTCCGCATTCAATATCCTGATGCAGTGAGAGAATCCTCTGTGAAGGGCCTTCGGCGAGGGTTGGCTTCACATCATGCTGGCTGTCTTCCCTTGTGGAAATCATTTATTGAAGAGCTATTTCAGCGAGGACTTGTTAAAGTTGTCTTTGCAACAGAGACACTCGCTGCTGGAATTAACATGCCTGCTAGGACAGCTGTTATTTCATCTCTCAGCAAGAGGGGAGACAGTGGACGTGTCCTGTTAAGCTCAAATGAATTGTTCCAAATGGCTGGGCGAGCTGGTCGAAGGGGTATTGATGAATTGGGTCATGTAGTTCTTGTTCAGACTCCATATGAAGGTCCTGAAGAGTGCTGCAAACTAATATTTTCTGGACTTCAACCCCTTGTCTCACAATTTACTGCTTCCTATGGCATGGTGCTAAATCTTCTAGCGGTATGTACTTCAAACATAATATTTCTTCAGGTTCATTTATCTCAATTTGGTTGATGGATTTATGGATAATTCTTCTCCAGGGGGCCAAAGTTACTCGTGGATCAATGGAATCAGATGAACTGAAAATCTCACGAGGAGGACGGACTTTGGAAGAAGCAAGGAAATTAATTGAGCAGAGTTTTGGAAATTATGTAGGGAGCAATGTTATGGTTGCTGCAAAAGAAGAGCTTTCTAGAATTGAGAAGGAGATTGAGATGCTAACTTCTGAAATAAGTGACGAAGCAATTGATAGAAAAATCCAGAAGCTCTTGTCACAATCGGCTTATCAGGAGATTTCCAATCTTCAGGAGGAATTAAAAGTACGTACATCACTTCAAGTCTTTTAGTCTCTCTAGTCTCTACTCCTTCCAAAAAATTCTAAGTCCAGATATTTCATATTCTTATCTCTATTGTTTGTTTAATGGCTGTCCTTGGTAATCCATCAAGTAATTTATGCCCCTATTCATATATCTAGCCAACATCATGTGCCATAGATGGCTCTCTTGTTTATCTAGTTTTCTATCATCCAGCCCCTAGTCTTTTCTGTTGTTTATCTAGTTCTCTCTCTCAAATACATTTTCACCTTTAATTAATAGGAATATACTACTGCCAATCGTTCATTTAAGACAATTGCACTTACGTTTCTTTTAGGCAGAAAAACGCTTGCGTACTGAACTGCGGAGAAGAATGGAACTGGAGAGAATGTTTTCTTTGAAACCTTTGTTGAAGGAACTGGAGGATGGGCATCTGCCATTTGTGTGTTTGCAGTACAATGATGCTGATGGGGTTCAACATTTAGTTGCTGCTGTTTATTTGGGAAATGTTGATGCTTTAAGTGCTTCAAAACTTAAGAATGTGGTATGTATTATCATGCTCAAACAAAAAATATTTTGGTCTTTATATCATTGTTCAATTGAGAACACTTTTTCATCCTTGTTCAGGTTCACCACTCTGATTTGTTTGCTATAAATATGGAAGTAGAAAGTAATGAAAATGGTGGTAATGAAGGTGAAGATAATTCCAAACCATGCTACCATGTGGCTCTTGGTTCGGACAACTCTTGGTACCTTTTCACAGAAAAGTGGATTAGAACAGTATACAGAACAGGCTTCCCAAATGTTGCCTTAGCTCATGGTGATGCCTTGCCTCGTGAAATTATGACAGAACTTGTTGAGAAGGGGGATATGCAATGGCAGAAGCTGGCAGAGTCAGGATTTGGAGGTTTATGGTGCATGGAGGGATCGTTAGAGACATGGTCTTGGAGTTTAAATGTGCCAGTCTTGAGTACTCTCTCTGAGGATGATGAGGTAATTATATGTATCAACATGGTTTAATAATGCAATAATGCATTGATATTTTCATATGGCATCATTTTGATTTGTATGAAAGTTCACCTGCCCAATTTGATTTCATTGTTCATGACATGAATTTACCAGAATGTATCCCTTTTTTTGTTTTCTTTTTGGTAGGGTTTAGGATTCCAAAAATCCATGCTTCTCTTTTAATGGACACGCTGAAGCAATTATTTAATACCCCTATTCCATTTTTTGCATCCTATTTTGGGTCCCCCAGTGTCCACTTGATATAAATTTGGCCAAGTTTGAATACATCTTTAAAACTTTGATACTTTTGAGTTAAGTAGTGTTTTTCATTTAGTTTTGTGATATATAACATTTATTTTTAAAGATGAAATTTATTAATATCTAAACTTAAATAAGAAGTCAGTCAACTAATCCAGAAAACAGTACATGACATACAAAATGGGATGGAGGGAGTACCAATTCGTTTACATTTTATAAATTTACTAGGTTTTGCTGCTTCAAGAGTCATTAGATTTTCTTTTGATGGAATACTGCTAAGGCCTGTGAACACGCAGTTGACTTTAAATAAGAAAATACTGATTGGTTAACTTTTGTGGTTAGGTCCTCGAATTTTCTCAAGCTTACAAGGACATAGTAGAATGCTATAAAGATCAAAGAAATAAAGTTTCTCGTTTGAAGAAAAAGATAGCACGATCAGAAGGATTTAAAGAGTATAAGAAGATTGTAGATATGGCTGGATTCACAGAGGAGAAGATTCGAAGGTTGAAAGTTAGGTCAAATCGATTGATTAACCGCATACAACAGATTGAGCCAACTGGCTGGAAGGAGTTTTTGCAGGTACTCTACAATCTGGATAATTGCCCTTGTTCTCTCTTATTCAAAATGCTGATACAGTGATATTGGATGGTATACTAGAGGCTGCTAGTCTGCTACTACCCCCCCTCCCTCTCCTCTTGCTCTCCCTCCCTTGGGCAGAGTGAGATGAAAAATTGATTTTCATGGGACCTTTATATTGAAATCTTTTGGTTGATTTTAGGAATATACTTTTGGATATATTTCTTTTATTTTCGCAAAAAGGAGGAAAAATTAATCCTTTCTTGATGCATACTATAGGTCAGCAATGTCATTCATGAAAGTAGGGCATTGGATATCAATACACATGTTATATTTCCACTTGGTGAAACTGCGGCAGCGATTCGAGGAGAAAATGAACTCTGGCTTGCCATGGTTCTTCGAAATAAATTATTGCTGGGCTTAAAGCCTGCACAACTTGCTGCTGTTTGTGGAAGTCTAGTTTCTGAAGGGATTAAACTTCGGCCTTCAAAAAATAACTGGTATTTTATTTGTTTTCAGGGTACATAGCTCTTAAATTCAACTTGCTGTTAAATTGGGGTTATAATAAGGATGCTATAAGACACTATGCAGTTTGCATCACTTAGTTATAAAATAGCTAGAAAGAATGTGATATATCTTCTGTCTGCAGTTACATATATGAACCCTCTGCCATTGTCTTGGATGTCATCAACTTATTAGAAGAACAAAGAACCTCAGTTCTCGAACTTCAAGAGAAGCATGGAGTAAGGGTGAGTATTTCAACTGGTATGGTAATCTTTCAATGGCTCTCTCTTTGCTTATAAAGAGATGAATTAAATTTGTTAATGTCACAGATACCTTGCTGCTTGGATAGCCAATTTTCTGGCATGGTTGAAGCTTGGGCTTCTGGTTTAACTTGGAAGGAGATTATGATGGACTGTGCTATGGATGAAGGAGATTTAGCCCGCCTTTTAAGAAGATCGATTGATATATTGGCTCAGGTATGCAGGAAATTTCTACCCTCCAGAGGAGTTTGTGTACTGACCAAACACTTCAGTATATACATAGCCCTTGGGTTCTTATTACTCTGATTTTATTGATTCTCTTTCATTATACTTATTTCCTAATTGGCTTTTCTGTTTTGTTGCAGGTTCCTAAATTGCCTGATATTGACCCACTGCTGCAAAGCAATGCCAAAAGTGCATCCAGTGTGATGGATCGTCCACCAATAAGTGAACTGGCTGGATGAAATTGATTCCAATATAGGAATTATTCTTTCCCTCGTAAGAGTAACGCAACTTCAAGCCAGGTATTTTAAATCAATGCATTTAATTGCCCGAACATATTGCAATTGGAAGATAGATATGAGAAAGTTGTCTTGTTTAGAAGGCCCTTGCTCTTTACTTTTGCTGTTGGTACTAACCTCTCAAGTTTCTACTTCAAAGTTCATATGCCCTAGAATTCTTGTTAACAGATTTCAGACTCATTTTTGATATTATGTATTTTTTATTTTTTTTTTCTGAGGTCCTGAAATGTACTAATTTAACACCAACTATCAATACAACTTCAGAAAATCAGTAGAAAGTTCAGTTTCCGTTAATATGCATTGTGGAGAGAGTGAAATAGCAAGAGATTGTATTATTTTTCTGAACGTTTTCACAAATTTCTTACCAGATGCGCATTGGGACAGTTCAGAAAGCGGATCCTAACCCTCATCGAATTCAAGAGTCTTGCCCGTTAGGTGGAGAATCATATATAACTAATTGCTTGAAGAATGTATTGGGGTAACAAATTTTCACTAGAGTCACAAGTAATACAAGGCAAAGTTGTTGGAAGTGTTAGGTTGTGACAACTACAGAATGGGTGGACTAGTCAGTCTACTACAGGTTTGGTTTGACACACAACATTTTGTCTGAGAATCCATTTATGTATGTAGTAAGATCTCATTTTTTCAGTACTTGCTGACATTAATGTATTCAGGGAAGCTAAAATTGTTAATCTTATGTAATCTGGTATGGTTGACTAATTTCACCAAAAAAAAAAAAAAAAAAAAAGTTGAAACCAGATTGTAAAATAATTGAGCTATTCTCTAGTCATTGAAGTGATACTCGAGGATTATATTAACAACTGTTTTTGGAAGGGATATTACAAGTTCAGTTTTTGACTATTTTAGAATTAAATGAAATTGACATTACCCGTTCCTGGTACCTCTCCTTCCGATCATTATACCATGGACCAGGTTCACAGTGCACTGTGAATTTTGTGGATGTATTTTGTATTGTGATTTTTTGTGTCTTGCGTTATGAAATTCTGTACTTTAAGAGTATAAATTCTGTACATGGAACAAATTAGTAATTGTGTTTTATTTATAAATTTTTGTGTCTTGTGTTATAAAATTCTGTGCCTATGAACAAAATTATGTACATAAATTAGATTTGAAAAATAAGTATATATATAACATGTGTGTGTGTCTTGTGCTATAATTTTTTGTGTCTAGTGTTATGAAATTCTATATCTTATAAGTATAAATTTTGTACCTCGTTGTTTTACCATAATACTATGTGTCATGTGTTGTAATTTTTTGTGTTTTGGATCATGAAATTCTGTATCTTATAAGTATGAATTCTATATCTCGTCGTTTTAATCTAAGGTCCACAATCTTACGTTGATCATAATCCATGATATAAATTGGCCTCCTAAGGTCCACAATCTTACGTTGATCATAATCCATGATATAAATTGGCCTCCCTTCACTCTGGACCTTGTTATGTCTAGACTAAGTAAACAAAATGTAAAGAATTCTCAGCTTTTTCTATTATGCAGACTGCAGAGTGGATGGCCTTACTGTAAAGTAAAACCCAAAAATTAAAAATCACTTTCCACTCTCAATTATCAAGTCTGGCTTCAACCGTTACGTTGTACAATAAACTATAACCCAAAGTGTGGTCAATTATGATGAGCAATATTTCCTCTCTCACACACTCTCTCTCTCTATTTATTTTGGAAAAGCCCATTACACCCTAATTGGGCTCCACATTAGTCTCTTTTTTGTGGTCCTAAAAGCTCTAGATGATCAGGATCTGAGGTTTATAAACCTACTACTTGTGACTTCGTGAATTTATATCGTGCACTACGGCGCACATAATAATATGTGTCTAAACATAAAACGTGTGCATTTTAATTATTGACGTCATTCTTTCCGTCTAAACGGCCCAAGCCCCATTATGTCAATCATTATTGTGTGGATCATGGTCCATACAAGTTGTGTTGACCATATTTTGTCTACTGTAAAATAATGTACATTTAGTATAAAAATAATGTATATTGTATTTAGGAGATGTACATTATTTTTGTTCTGAGTGTACATTGTATAATGTACATTTAGTACTAAAATAATGTACATTTAGTATATTAAAAATGTACTTTTTGTTATGGTCCATACAAGAATTTGTTCCATTATGTGTATTCAGTTAAAAGTTTCTGATATTGTGTTATGAGTTTCTGTGTATTCAGTTAAAAGTTTCTGTGTATTGTGTTATGAGTTTATGTGTATTCAGTTAAGAGTGTATGTGTATTCAGTTAAGAGTTTCTGTGTATTATGTATCATGTTTGATTATGTGTATTCAGTTATGAGTTTCTGTGTATTCTGTTATGAGTTTATGTGTATTCAAAACAGGTGATTTTTTTGGACAATACACCAAAATGATGTTGTTTTAGGTAGGACGGGACACACAATGCATTGTGCGTCCTGGTGCACGATATAACGATTGTGTGACTTGTGAGGATCAAATCTGTAGCAAGTTTGTCACATGTATTGCTTTTTGGAGGAAAAAGAAACGATCGACACATTCTTTTCAATAGTAGAGTGTCAGGTTAGTAAAGAGTAAAAAAGTAAAGTAGAAATTAACACTACATATGGCATTACTCATATGATATGTCCTTTGGCCATCTTCAGTATGGGATTGTTCACGGTTATTGAGAAAATTTAGGGTGTGTTTGGTTGACATGTTTAGCTCTAAGGAATGAGTATCAAAGTGATTGGTATTGTTTGGTTGATAAGTTTTTAGAACGCTACTATAGATTTCAAATATCCATTAATTGAAAAACTCATACCCAAATAAAATAAGAGTATCATCCCCTTTCATTCCCTTTGATTAGTGCTTTTAGATTTTTGTTTTAATTTTTTGTTCATATTGATGTTTTGGATGTCTTTATATTAGAATCAATTGTCTTGATTTTGTGTTCTTGTATTTTTAAAATCTTTATTCCCATTATAGGATCATACATAACCAAACAGCATTATTGATAATCATTCTCATTCCACCATACTACCAAACATGCAAAATACTTTCACTAAAACACATTACCATTACCAAGTATTTGATACCTGGTAGACTAATACCCACCGTACGTACGTCCTGTCGGTTGGGACCTGTAAGACGTGTAGCCTCCATTAGATACCGACCGCTCTTGCCCGATCAGGGCATGAGAACTGCCCGACCGCCTTGATCAGGATGGAATCCTAGGAAGTAGTGACAGAAGGCTTGCGCCACGTGGTGACATTCCTTGGGCAGAGTGCTTGCGAGTGCATGACGGCCACGCGACCGACATGCCGAGACCCCGGATCTCGCCCCCTCGCCCTCTATAAATACCCGCATTTATGACGATGGGAGGGACTTTTGACTCTTAGCTTGACCGGGAGCTGTTCGACCCACTGTTGACTGAACCCCGAGCTCAAGCTCAGTTGTTCCTTTTCTATATTCCTCCAATCATGTAAAACTAACCATCTAACATATGTAGTTGACTAGTTTGTGGGGTGATAAACTTATAATAGTCTAACAACTCATAGTCCTGAGTGATACTTGAATTACTCGACCGCTTAGGAGGCGCCCCCGGGCGCTCGACTAGAGCCTAGCACCTTCTGCACCATTGGTGGAGTATCGTTTTTTACATTTTAAAAGCAATATGCTTTTGCAAATGAAACATATTTTAAATATTTTGTACTGGTTCAAAAAAATTATTTTGTACTAAATAAAGTTTGAATAAAGTCTTCCTTTTCAAAAAAAAAAAAAAAAAAAATACATTTTGTACTAAATCTAATCCAGTTGAGTAAAAAGGGGATAAATTAAATGTGATTATTGATTAAAGTAATAATTACAATATTAATATAAAAATATTGCTATCATTAATAGATCTCAGAAATAGAAATAACTCTTTTCAGACCTAATCGGCAAATCAGGAAACTGGCGGCCGAGCTTCACTCCTACATGACCGTTAATCCTACCTTTTTTTTTTTTTTTTTTTTTTTTTTTTTAAGATCGTTAATCCTAACTTTTACCTCGTTTTCAAGAATTAAAAAAAAAAAAGAAAAGATAAAAACAAAGTATTTTAACATTAACAATTAATAATGATACAAAAAAGTTGAGTGTTTGGTAAAAACTTGTTAACTGATAATTGTTAGCTGATTGAATTAGTAGGTTTAACTAGTTGATAGCATTAGATGATTGTAGAAAGATGTTTGGTAAATTTGTTGTTAGCTGATAGCTGATTACATGCAAAATGACTTTCTTAAAAAGTTGAGAAAAAAAAACTGCTTTGAACAGCTTTTTTGAATTTTAAGGTGTGTTTGAAAACTCAGAAAATGATTTTTTGAAATTATTTTCGGGTTTCCAGTATTTAGCAAGAAGAAAAACTTAGAGTCAATGGAAATTCATGTCTTGGTCAATAGAAAATACATCCTATTTTCAAGATAACTAAAAGTACTCTAAATAAAATAATAGACAATCAAATCAAATTAAATTTATTATTAATTAATAATGTAAATAAATATAAATTTTATCTACTAATACTAAATTAAACAATATAAAAAATTAAATTGTAAATGTAGAAAAACATTTTAATTTCCTCAAATATCACACTATGGTGATAAACACAAATAATAATAAAAATAAAGAATAAAGAATTAATTTGATCAATAAATAATAAATTAAACATGACGAATTAAATAAAATAGTGGGAGCTAAGCACCTTGTGCTCAGATGGCACGTAGTGACTTTTTTTTATGTAAGAGGTTATGAGATCGAGGCTTAGTGGAGGAGGCAGGCGTTGTTGACTCTCTTTATACGGTTGAGGAGAGCTCTCTTTATACTTCATTAAGTTGAGGAAGTATGTTTGAACAAATACTACAATGTAATAGAGTCAGCATTCAAAAAAAAAAATAGTGGGAATAACATTTTTCCTTTAACATTACTCATCACCTAAATTTATATGGCACAAGTCAACTATGTTGTGACATTTTTCCTTTAACATTACTCAATCACCTAAATTTATATGGCACAAGTCAACTATGTTGTTCAAAGAGAATAATGTCAGACAACATAATTAGAAAAAGAAAATAGTTTTAAAACTGTTGTAATTCTACCCTGGATAAACCTCTTCAACAAAAATATAAGATTTTTATATTAAATTATCAAATTGCATTATTCAAAGGCATGGGAGGATTGAAGAATCAGTTGTGTGATATCACATGGGTTTACATGGTAAATAATTGTTGTTTTTGACAACCTAATAGTATAATATAATATCAATAATTAATCATTGCCACAAATATATTAAATAATAATACTTTGTAATAATTGTCTTTTGGATACTTTAGTACATTACTTCATTTTTTTTTTTTATCAAAACCCAACTAATTTATTAATCCACCAAAATCGAATACAAAAAAAGAGATCGGACCAAATCAAATTTCTATAAAACAGGGACAAACTCACAATATATCAAAAGCGATATCTAAACTCATAGTGACCACACATCTTCCCACGACCACGTGCGCGAGATCCACTGCGTCCCTAGCACGCTCCAAATGGTCAACAAAAGCCTAATTTGAGAAAGCTCTATTAATGTCTATTGCGTCATTTATAAGATTCAAATGTGGATCTTATTATCTTAAAAGAACTGATTGAGTGGATAAAACATGATTTTTGTGTTTGAATGTCACAAATTTAATTTTTATCAACATTCTTTATGTTGAGTTCGTCCTACAACCTTAAATAATGATGAAATTTACCCGTGCACATCTTGTAATAAGTAATTACAGATTTCTCTAGTCGCGCCAAAAAATTATGAATTTTAATTAA